GGGATCTCATTTCAAGATCCCAAAATAGAAAGGAATAGTTTCTCACACTCAACAAAAGTGTATCAGTAGTTTTCAGATGTTTTTTTGTTGTTGCATGAATTAGACACAAAGGACTGACGACCAAAGGGAAAGAGCAAGACAAGTTTATTTATATCGCACAGGTTAACAAGGCTACTCAAAGTGCTTAAAAACCAGAAACAAATTCACACAAATCATAGATAATCACATCCTTCAGTTTTAGCAGCTAAACAGGGCCATTTTTAACCTGGATTTGAGCATTGTCAGAAGAAGCCTGTCTCACGTTTTAAGGAAGACTGTTCCAGATTTTAGCTGCATGAATCTGAAACGCTGCCTCCTAATGTTTAGCCCTGACTCTGGGACTAGCAGGAGGCCAGTCCCTGTGCTCCTCCGAGTCCCCAGCAGGAGGCCAGTCCCTGTGCTCCTCCGAGTCCCCAGCAGGAGGCCAGTCCCTGGGCTCCTCCGAGTCCCCAGCAGGAGGCCAGTCCCTGTGCTCCTCCGAGTCCCCAGCAGGAGGCCAGTCCCTGTGCTCCTCCGAGTCCCCAGCAGGAGGCCTGTCCCTGTGGTCCTCCGAGTCCCCAGCAGGAGGCCTGTCCCTGTGCTTAAGCCCTTGGCCTTGTGTATGAACTGTGCCATACAAATAAACTTGCCTTGTCTGTCATTTCCAATACATATTTTTTCGTCTTTCTTTGCAAACCAGTCAGAACCAGAAAGAGCGGCGGCTGAGAAAGCGCTGGTCCCACATCGACTTGGACCTGGTCACTCTGCTGGAGGACAACGAGCACAACCTGGTTTTCCTGGAGGTGCAGTATCCAGACTGTGTTTATCTCCACTATCGTCCTGTTCGTTCACAGCAGGTCTCCTCCTTTTGCAGATTGATTCAGAAAGAAAACCCAAGAAATTCAAAATACGCAGAGCACTTTATGACAAAAAGGTATGTATAGTCGTTGTTCTTTTAAAGCTGGGGTACTGAACTTTCAAACCACAAAACAATTCATGAAACTCCATTTAATCCAGGACTGAGGCTGTAGACCCAGGACTGAGGCTGTAGACCCAGGACTGAGGCTGTAGACCCAGGACTGAGGCTGTGTAGACCCAGGACTGAGACTGTAGACCCAGGACAGAGGCGGTGGATCTGCGTCTTTGAGCGTCCACTGCTTTATTATAATATTATATTATTTGCGTGGCGATCAGATTAGGTTCCCCAGCTTTAACCCGTGCACTTTTCTTCAGTCTTTTTTCAAATATAAATTGTTTGTTTAGATTGTGATCCTGAAGGAATTGAAGCATTCGGATGGAAACTTTGACGAGATACAGAGAATAGAGCTGAATGCGGTGGGTACAGAACAGTCTGCGGCGAGAATTTGAGAAATGATGATAAATGTGTTTTTGATCCCGTCGCAGCTGCTTCACATCGATTACTCCAACTTAACCAAGTTTTACGGCACGGTGAAGCTGGACCAGGGCGTGTTCGGAGTGTTCGAGTACGGAGAGCGCGGATCTCTGACGGTAACACTTTGTTAGCGGACACTCACAAGAATACATACTGTAGATTTCAGTTGCTAATGGTTAAAGCACATTTAGTTATAAGGCAGTAGTCATGCACAGGTACCCAGGAGGCCAGGGACAGAAAGGACTGTGGGAAATACTAAAACACTGATGAATCAAAACTATAAAAGTGAAACATTATACATACACACATGCACACCCATGCACACATGCATACACGCACATACATACATGCACATAGAAACATACATGCACATACACACACACATACGCACACACATACGCACACACATACATACATACAAGCGCACGTACATACATACAAACACATACATGTACACACATAATCATGCATAAATCTGTAATAGTAAAAAAAGTACAAGATATGAAATAAAGGAGATTTGAAAACAAACATTAGTCACTCCTAGCTTGTTTTCTTGTAACATTTTGAGCAACTAATCTAAAATGAAGTGCTAGTGAGTGTGTCCTAACATTAACCCACATGGCAAAGTGTCGGTATGAGTTAGATGTTGGATAAGGCCATGTAGAATAAAAACAAATAAATGCTCAAAAAACACAAATTAAAATCAAAATATAATATAAAATAAAATAATAAAATATAATTTAACTATTTTAGCTGTTAATTAGTGAAGGCTAAACTAAAGTGTGACCAGAAGTTTTTTTTCTACTGTAGCAACATTTTGAGCACCTTTTTTAGATATAAAAAATAAATACTCTAAATGTCTACAAATGTTCTATTTTTAGTCAGTACATCTTTATTCAACTTTTGTATTCCTGGTTCAGAGCCTACAGATAATACAGCTTTTTCAAATATGGAAAAACAGAGTGAATGTAGAGTGTGATAATGTCTTTGCTCTTGGTCCAGTATGTGCTCAACGACAAAGTGTGCTACCCAGACGACTCCTTCATGGACTGGGAGTTCAAAATCTCCGTCATGTACGACATCGCCAAGGTGGGTCCATACAATACTGTACAGCACTCATTCTCTGACTGTATGTAGATGCTAACAATGCTAACTTCCCTAGCCTAGCTCACTGAAACCCAATGGGTAAGTGCTCATGGACAAAGTTTTGCTCCAACTCGCTCAAGCTCCTATTGACTAGATTCAAGATTTAAGAATTGATTTGCCATTTGCAGTAAAACCAAAAAATTGTTATGTCCATACAGTCCATATGTTAGACCTAAACGAGCTTTAAAAGTAATCAATACAGTCTTAAAATCCATTCTAAAGCGCACAGGGAGCCATTGGAGGAATGCTAAAACAGGGGTGATGTGCTCCCTTCTGTTAAAACCAGTAAGAAATCTAAACCAGTTGGAGGCGGGAGAGGGATTAGATTCCAGACGAGAGAGTTACACTAATTGAGGAGAGAGAAGATGATGGGTTCACAAATTTATGGAGATGAGGAGGAGAGACTGTTTCGAAAGCTGGAGTTTTGTGAAAGCAGGATTTTGTAGTTTGTGTGACGTGATTGAAAAGTAAACTCCACTAGCGCACTAACCGTTTGTCATTTTGGGCTCAGAAAATCATTTTGTAGTTTTCTATATGATCCTGGTGTTCACTTTTTTTATCTCGTCTTTGTAAATCCAGATATGTGCCAAAAAAAAGTATCGACTCCAGCTTTCATTAGCAACCGTCTTAGCATCACATCTGCCCCTGTTACGCCACGAACGCAACGCCGTCAGAATAAACGCCCATATAAGGACATCGCCTCCAGCGTATGTTCAAATCTCTCTTCCAGTCTATGAATCAAGACCATTGACCACAATCACAATAAGATTTCAGTAACTTGAAGATGGTAGGACATGTAGGGACAAGGCATTATCGTTTCATTTATTTTAATTCTTAGCAACAGAGGGACATATTGGACTCTTGTAGATCTCTCATTATGAGCCATGTGGGGATTATAATGGCTGTGATTATACTCCAGAAATGTGAATACTGCAAGAATTGTTGTCTGTAATCTGTTATGTGTAATTTTCTGCGTAATTAATCTATATAAGGAGACATTTCAAACCAAATAATTGATTTTATTGACAAAACACTCGTACCGTTTTGTTTTATTGTCTGTACAGTTGTTTGGAGGTGACTGCAGTACATTAATTTGCCACAAGAGGGCACTAATGACTGTAGTTGTTTAGGGGGCTCGAGTTTGGCAAAATTAAGACCTCTCCATGATTGTCAATATAGATAATTGTTTAATCTTTTGAAATCTTGCTCTCCACACAATTTACAGGATTTACAGCGACTCCTAAAGCTGGGGTTCCTAATATTCAGAGCATCAGAAACACTAAAGAACCATGAAAGTAGTTCCTCACTCTCAAAACTGGTTCTGTCACTAGTTTTTGCATGTATTCTGGGCCACATTCACAACTTTGGATCAGCTTTTTCAGATGTAAAAGTGGAAACATAGAGGGCCCTTTTCAGTCGGCCAATCAGCTCTCAGCTCAAGGATCAAATAGTGACTCACAGGGATCTTACAAATATACAAAAGACATGTTTTATAATCTGTTAAAGTCAGCATATATGAGAGAAAATGTGAGGTACTCCAGCTTTAAATGAATGATTCTAGTACGGCCATGATTGGATGTGAAAGCCAGATCCTGTCTGAACCTGGAAGCGAAGCAGTGCAGGGCCTGGTTAGTTCTAAGATGGGAGCCAACCGGGAACACAGCGGGTTGGCTACGGCTGCAAAGTGTCAAAGTATAGTTGTGTCCATAGGCAAGACACTTTATCCATATTGTGTAGAATCAGTCTGGTGTGTGTGAATGGTTAATGGGGCTGGTGGCACTTACTGGTTGCCTTGTTCTGTCAGTGTGCCCCAGGGCAGCTGTAGCTTCTGTAGTAGTTTATCACCACTGTATTTGGAGTGAAAGAATGACATGTAGAGTATCTTTGAGTGACAAGCCCTTTATAAAACATAGGCGTTGATATTTGTTATGTGGTGGACACAAAAAAGGACTCAAAAGATAGATTTAAGGATGGCCCCATTGAGAAAAACTGATAAAAAATATTTTTTTTGAGAGGGTCCATTATCAAAAAAGAAAAAAAGATTTAATAAACAAAACACAAAAAAAAAAAAAAAAATCCAGGATACAACAGAACTTCAAACTCAAACGGAGACAGTCAAATGCACAGACATGACGCAACACTGAAATGAACAAATATGTCAAAATAAAACCAGGTAAAAGTGATGAAAAAGTTGGCACCATGAGAATTATGATTATTATGATTATTCTGATTATATCTGGTGTCTGCAGGGGATGTCCTACCTCCACGGCACTGACCTCCAGGTCCACGGTCGCCTCAAATCCACCAACTGTGTGGTGGATAACCGCATGGTGGTCAAGATCACGGACTTCGGCTGCAACACGTTACTGGTCCCCGGCAGAGGTTCTTTCACCTTCTTCTTGAACAGATACAGAAGGATTTGAGGTTTTACATCAGGGGCCTCAAACTCAGCGTGTCTGTGGGCCGCATGAGGTGGAGTCTGGGGGAAGCTGGGCCACATTAAGGGCTATGTTTATAATGTGTTTGTGTGTGTGCAGAATGTTATGGACATAGGAGCAAACAGATCTACGTAGAGAGATAAAGTCAAACATCAAAACTGCACACGCAAATTAGCTCCTGGATAAACAATGGCACATTTCAAAGAGACACAAACAGGAAAACCAACAATCCAGCGTTTGTGGAAAGTTTTATACTTCATTATTTGTTTAGTGGTGGGAACCTAAGGGTACCTCACGATACGATACGATACAAAGCTCACGATAATATCACGATAACTATTTTAGCACGATATGACGATTATCGATATATTGGTCAGAAATATACCATATGCCAATTTATGGCATAAATAAAAGAAAAATGTTAAGTGAAATGTATTGTGACTGTATTGATAATAATTGGAAAAAATGTGAAGAAAAAAATAAAAAATTGAAATATATATATTATTTTTTTTTTCAAAATTGATATTGATACTTGGCAAATGCATATCGATAATCGAATCGCAGGCGAAAGTATCGCGATCGTCACACCCCTATTATTTGTATCTGACTTTTTTATCTTGAAGGAGTTTGGACCAAATCCTTACTTTTATTGAATATGAGTTTGATATAATATATTGCTTATTACATTCAAGGTTTAAAGGAGCAGTCTGTAAAAATGTGGCCAAAGGTGGTACTGCAGCCTCTCCCACTCTCCCTGACTCAGGTTGCCAGATATGCAGACGAATCCAGCTGGGACCATAACAGTAGAATAGACAAGAGTTTTGTCAACAACAAATCTATAACCAACACCTTTTTCACAAAGATAGAAATCCTGGATTTATTCCTTGTTTTGTCGTTAATGATTTGAGAATCATAACGAGACCTTTTTTTAGCACAGCCACATGGTACTTTATCAGTGAGATTAGCTTGATGCGATGAGTTCTGGCAACCCGGCTCAGACTTTCTGATTGGTGAAACGGTGGAGGGCGGGTCATCAAAATGACAACAATTACTAGATTTAGGGGCTGTAAAACTAATTTTGAAATTCAAATATCTCTGAACTACTTTTATCAGTTAAAGAAGTATTGGAAAAGAGCATGTTTTATTCATGCCTTTAATGACATGACATGAACATCTTACATATTGCTAATTTAATTTTTATGGTAAAATAAATAGTGGTTGTTTTCTTGATTGTTATCTTCAAATCGATGTATAACAAAACATTTAACAGCACACTCTCAGACAGTACAGTTTGGTGTCCACTAGGGGGCCACAGAAAACCTTTTCCCTGGCCGCTGATGGCTCGCGGGCCACATGTTTGAGACCGTGTTAACCTGGTGTGGGGTGTGTGCAGATCTATGGACCGCTCCGGAGCATCTGAGGAAACCCGGGACTTCTCAGAAAGGCGACGTCTACAGTTTCGCCATCATCGCCCAAGAAATCGTTTACAGAAGATGCACTTTCTTCTCAGAGAGCTGTTCAGACAGAGCAGGTTTGATCCATCACTCTGTCCACGTTTATCTGTTTGGCACAGTGTTTGGAAGTTCACACACCCAGCCAGAGATGTCATTGTTTTGTCATATTCAGGAGATTATAAAGTAATTTAGTGATTAAGAGTTTAGTGATTAAGAATTTAATTTAAAACATAAACTAAGTAATGAACAAGATGCAAAGTTAAAACAATAAAACGGGTGCGAAAAATAAAATTCTACAAAGAAAAATAGTTATGTATGATGAAAAATATGTATGATTCCCCCAATGTCCAGAAAAGCACTTTATAAAACCAAAACATTATTAAACATCTTCTACCTGGGTGTGTAAACTTTGAACGGTATCTACACAATCATTTATGAATGGATATCAAATCAGAAATGTGTGTCTGATGCAGAAAAACTGTCCCGAGTGCAGTGTCCGGGCGTGACCGTCTTCAGACCGGACCTTAACCTTTACACTGAGTCGGACAGAGAGCTGGAGGTACAATAACCATCATAACAACCCTAACAACCCTAACAATCATAACAACCACACAAACACATGTACGGTGCTGAACTTCTGCTGCTGTTACTTTTGAAGGTGTTCATGTTGATAAAAAGCTGTTGGGATGAAGACCCGGAACGCAGGCCAGACTTTAAGAAAGTGGAGAACTGCTTGGAAAAGAGCATTAGGTAAAGGAGCTGAAGGACTGTGTACATGATAGGGTCTACTTCTTTTGATTAGAGAGCTACTTTTATGAAACAGAAATGGCAGAGATACTCCTTTTAGCAGCTGTAATACCATTGTAGTCTGTGTAAAAACCGCAGCAAATCAGTCCCCTGCATTCATGACAAGATTTATAGTTAAAACAGAAATAACTCAAAAGTGAGAGAATCCACAGGTTGGAGACCCCTGATATGTACATAATATTACTGTGATGTTTTGTCTTCAGTAAAATCCATAACCATAACAACGAGAGCTACATGGACAACCTGATCCGACGGCTGCAGATGTATTCGAGGAATCTGGAACACCTGGTGGAGGAACGGACCGCGCTGTACAAGTCTGAGAGGGACCGGGCCGACTACCTCAACTTCCTGCTCCTCCCGAGGTCTGGACTGGACTCCTGCAGGACTTTACTTTACTTGCACATTGTTGGGAGAAACGCGTTACAAAAATACTGTTTTACGGTGATGTATTGCTTTTTGTTGTAACGCGGTAAAGACATCTGGGTAATATTTGACTTGGGGTAAAGGTCAGTACTGTGCATTGTGGTGGCGATTTGTCCATAACTTAAACCAGGACCAACTTAATCCAAAACAAATCAAAAGGCCACTCAGGCGTTTTCAGGTTGGCTTTACGCAGGGTAGAGAAAACAAATTGTCCAAACAAAATTGCATTAGGTGGGTTTATCGTCCAAGCAAATGGCAAACATGCAGAAAATAAGCAATAATTGATGCAAAAGTATCTTAGCAAACTTAGCAAAATAACTATCTAAAGTAGATCATCGGTTATTATCAAAAAATAGACTAATAGCTCTAACATGCATTTTAACCTGTGATTAAAAAGCTCAGGAGCAAAAACCCGAAAAAAAAATTAATTACCACATGTGTCAGAGGCAGAGATGGTGTGAGCTGTTGTTACCGTCAATCTCTGGAGAAGTGAGTCCCAAGTGTGTGTCGAAGTGTAGGCCCCTTTGTCTTTGTTCATGGTCCGTACCTGTGCGTCAAGTTATAGGCCCCTGCGTCTCTGTTCATGGTCCGTACAGTACGTAAACTTGCTTCTTTAGACTTACACACTTGGTCTAAAAACTAACTTTCTAAGCAGATTAATTTGGCAATACTGACAACGGCTGAAACATGTTCTACCTCTGTGTGCAAACTTTCAAGCACAACAGGAGAATTGTTTCTGGTAGAAGAGGCTGAGGCTGAAGCAGAAGCAGCACCATGTGAACAACAGTACATTTTACAGATTATTAAACAGATTATTTAGAGTTTGTTGGAGACAAAGAAGTGGAACAAAACTGTTAAGTTTATGTTCAAACCAAAATCTCTATCAACCTCACGCAATAGCATCATAAGCTACATTTAGTTTGTGTGTATATATATTTTCTGAAAGGAACTTCAAAGTAATGCAGTAGTAGTGAAACGCCGTACAACTCAGAGACAGTAATATTGTAGTAACTCAATACTTTGAAACCGTAAGAAGTAACGTTTGGTTTATGAAGCAACTTTCCCAACACTGGTGCTGGACAATGATGTGTTGTGTTGTGTGCAGGCCGGTGGTCAAGAGCCTGCAGGAGCGTGGCGTGGTGGAGCCGGAGCTGTACGACGAGGTCACCATCTACTTCAGTGACATCGTGGGCTTCACCACACTGTGCCAGTACAGCACCCCCATGGAGGTGGTGGACATGCTCAACCACATCTACAAGAGCTTCGACCGCATCGTGGACCATCACGACGTCTACAAGGTACAGACACGCATGACAACCGATGGGTGGGTGGGTGGGTATAGGTAGATATATACAGTAGATAGGTCCTTATCCTGATTTGTCAAACTCGAAGTCCATAAAAATGTTGTATGGACTTCAATAGATAGGTAGGTAAAAAGGTAGATAAATAGGTAGGTAGGTAGGTGTCTAGGTAGGCAAATAGGTAGATAGATAGATGGACGGACAAATGGATAGATATATAGGTAGGTGGGTAGATGGATAGATATATAGGTAGGTGGGTAGGTAGAAAGAAGGGCAAATAGTTAGATCAGTGTTCCCCAACCTTTTTGAGCTGTGACACATCTTAATCCTTTAATACAATCCCATGGCACACCATCAGCTGAAACTGATGCTAACATGTAACTCTGCAACCTTTAATAACAAAACTAAGCCATTCTCATCAAAGTGTATTCTATAGAAAATCAGAACTGCAAATTAGTTTTTCTAATATAAGTTTTAGTTTCACATTATCTTGACCAAGTAGGTGATTCTGGATAATTTCCCAAAGCACACCAAAAAACATCTCAAGACACACTAACGTTCCACGGCCCACTGGTTGAAAAACACAGAAGTAGATGGATAGATACGTAAATAAGAGATACTTTATTGACCCCTGTCCGGCAACAGAAGCACATCCGTTCTTACAAATATATAATTCTAAAAGTAAGGAACAATAAAATAGAAAGAAGAATGCACCAACATCACAAACACTTGACACTGAACGACTGCTCGAGGGTTTTTATGATAATCAGGCCGAGGAGCTGTGGCCCTCGACTCTCCGATCTCAGCAGTGGAATCATGAACACGATCCCTGTGTTTTTCACACACACTGGTTTAAGATTCAGATGAAGAGATACTGTGTTTGTTCAGTGGAGAAATGTCAGTGTTGCATGACAAGTTACAGCAAAATTCCTATTGTTAGCTTAAGCAAGTACAAAATATTGCGTCCTCTAATGCAAGTAATACATACACACGTAAACATCTGTCAAGGCAAGTTTATTTGTGTAGAACAGCTCATGCACAATTCAGCTCAAAGTGCTGAACAAAACATGGAAAGTCGTTGAAATTTAAATAATTAATAATCACCGTAAATAAAGAGTGAAGAGACGGCTTTTATGTTGTAGCAGCAAAACACAACTGTTTTAAACTGGATTTGAACATTCTTTATCTGAAATGTTGCCTCCCCATGTTTAGTCCTGACTCTGGGACCAGCAGGAGGCCGGTCCCTGTGCAAAGCCATAGACTAAAGTCCAAATTCTTCAGAACAATATGTGTGAGAGTAAAAAAGGCCCCTTGTCTTGGGTTGATAGTCTTGGGTTGATAGTCTTGGGTTGTTAGTCTTGGGTTGTTAGTCTTGGGTTGATAGTCTTGGGTTGATAGTCTGGGGTTGATAGTCTGGGGTTGATAGTCTTGGGTTGATAGTCTTGGGTTGATAGTCTTGGGTTGATAGTCTTGGGTTGATAGTCTTGGGTTGTTAGTCTTGGGTTGTTAGTCTGGGGTTGATAGTCTTGGGTTGATAATCTGGGGTTGATAGTCTGGCGTTGATAGTCTGGGGTTGATAGTCTGGGGTTGTTAGTCTTGGGTTGTTAGTCTTGGGTTGTTAGTCTGGGGTTGATAGTCTGGGGTTGATAGTCTGGGGTTGATAGTCTGGGGTTGATAGTCTGGGTTGATAGTCTGGGGTTGATAGTCTGGGGGTTGATAGTCTGGGGTTGTATAGTCTTGGGTTGTTAGTCTTGGGTTGATAGTCTTGGGGTTGGTTGATAGTCTGGGGTTGATAGTCTGGGGTTGATAGTCTGGGTTTGATAGTCTGTTTGGGTTGATAGTCTGGGGGGGTTGATATAGTCTGGGGTTGTGATAGTCTGGGGTTGATAGTCTGGGTTGATAGTCTGGGGTTGATAGTCTGGGGTATCTGGTATAGTCTGGGGTTGATAGTCTGGGTTGATTGATAGTCTGGGTTGATAGTCTGGGTTGATAGTCTGTTAGTCTGGGTTGTATCTGGGTTGATAGTCTGGGTGATATAGTCTGGGTTGATATGTTGATAGTCTGGGCTTGATAGTCTGGGCTTGATAGTCTGGGCTTGATAGTCTGGGCTTGATAGTCTTGGGTTGATAGTCTTGGGTTGTTAGTCTTGGGTTGTTAGTCTGGGGTTGATAGTCTGGGGTTGATAGTCTGGGGTTGATAGTCTTGGGTTGATAGTCTTGGGTTGATAGTCTGGGCTTGATAGTCTGGGCTTGATAGTCTTGGGTTGATAGTCTTGGGTTGTTAGTCTGGGGTTGTTAGTCTGGGGTTGTTAGTCTGGGGTTGATAGTCTTGGGTTGATAGTCTTGGGTTGATAGTCTTGGGTTGATAGTCTTGGGTTGATAGTCTGGGGTTGATAGTCTGGGGTTGATAGTCTTGGGTTGATAGTCTTGGGTTGATAGTCTTGGGTTGATAGTCTTGGGTTGATAGTCTGGGGTTGATAGTCTTGGGTTGATAGTCTGGGCTTGATAGTCTGGGCTTGATAGTCTTGGGTTGATAGTCTTGGGTTGTTAGTCTGGGGTTGTTAGTCTTGGGTTGATAGTCTTGGGTTGATAGTCTTGGGTTGATAGTCTTGGGTTGATAGTCTGGGGTTGATAGTCTTGGGTTGATAGTCTGGGCTTGATAGTCTGGGCTTGATAGTCTTGGGTTGATAGTCTTGGGTTGTTAGTCTGGGGTTGATAGTCTTGGGTTGATAGTCTTGGGTTGATAGTCTTGGGTTGATAGTCTGGGCTTGATAGTCTGGGCTTGATAGTCTTAGGTTGATAGTCTTGGGTTGTTAGTCTTGGGTTGTTAGTCTGGGGTTGATAGTCTGGGGTTGATAGTCTGGGGTTGATAGTCTTGGGTTGATAGTCTTGGGTTGATAGTCTGGGGTTGATAGTCTGGGGTTGATAGTCTTGGGTTGATAGTCTGGGGTTGATAGTCTGGGGTTGATAGTCTGGGGTTGTTAGTCTGGGGTGTGAAAGAATGGACTTGTAAACGAGATCCAGATGGCAGAGTGCATTGTGTGCCCAGTCTCGCTTCTACATTTATCTGTGATGTAAATATGTTCCTATCCTCGACCGCTGAGACGCTTAAACTGGATTTCATTGCATTGTTCTGACTTTGTAATGACAATAAAGTGGAATCTAAGATAAACTTTTTTTTTTTTTTCAATCATTTGATTTTTGAATTATTAACAAACACATAGACAAACAAACATCCCCTGGAGATCACAGCAATAAAAAAAAAATAAAAAAAAGAGTTAATCAGAAATAATATTAATCTTAAATTTAATAAACAAAGTATTGCCTTTTCTCATCAAAGTCACGAGCTTTCCCTTTAAGAACAAATATTCTTTCTTGAGCTGATGTCTCTTTTCCAGCTCACACAGGTCTTTGTCTTTCCATTTAAATGAAATTATCCGTTTGGCCTGAATTAGACAAATATGAAGTAAATGGATCTTCTTTGAATTTAGTGAAAGATTCTTCGGGTGAATGTGAAGCAGACACATTTTTGCCTCAAAGGAAGCACAACCCAAAAGTGTAGATGAAAAACTAAGAACGTGATGCCAAAACAGTTGAAGCTCTTTGCGTTCCCACAGAATATGAATTAAGGAATCGAAATAATCTAATCTAATCTAATCTAATCTAGCAGCTTCCAAAGTGCTTCAGACACACACAAGAAAACAACATAAAATACACACTAATGATGTAGAACATGTAGATGAAGTATTGTTCTGAGTAAAAATAGCGGCACAAAGACGACCTCATTCTCCGGCTGCTCTCTCCACGTGAGCGATTGCGATGTCACATGGTGTCCTCAGGTGGAGACCATCGGCGACGCCTACATGGTGGCCTCAGGGTTACCAAAGAGGAACGGCAACAGACACGCCGTGGACATCTGCCACATGGCCCTGGACATACTCAGCTTCATCAAGACCTTCGAGCTGCGCCACCTCCCCAGCATCCCGGTCTGGATCCGGATCGGGGTCCACTCAGGTACCCACACTGAGGACCAGAACATCCCACACACTGAGGACCAGAACATCCCACACACTGAGGACTAGAACATCCCACACACTGAGGACTAGAACATCCCACAAACTGAGGACTAGAACATCCCACAAACTGAGGACCAGAACATCCCACAAACTGAGGACCAGAACATCCCACACGCTGAGGACCAGAACATCCCACACGCTGAGGACGAGAACATCCCACACGTTGAGGACCAGAACATCCCACACTGAGGACCAGAACATCCCACACACTGAGGACTAGAACATCCCACACACTGAGGACCAGAACATCCCACACACTGAGGACTAGAACATCCCACACACTGAGGACCAGAACATCCCACACACTGAGGACCAGAACATCCCACACACTGAGGACTAGAACATCCCACACACTGAGGACCAGAACATCCCACACACTGAGGACCAGAACATCCCACACGCTGAGGACTAGAACATCCCGGTCTGGATCCGGATCGGGGTCCACTCAGGTACACAATGAGGACTAGAACATCCCACACACTGAGGACTAGAACATCCCACACACTGAGGACAAGAACATCCCAATGAGGTCCACTCAGGTACACACACTGAGGACTAGAACATCCCATAGAGGTCCACTCAGGTACCCACACTGAGGACCAGAACATCCCACATGCTGAGGACCAGAACATCCCACACACTGAGGACCAGAACATCCCACACGCTGAGGACCAGAACATCCCACACGCTGAGGACTAGAACATCCCACACACTGAGGACCAGAACATCCCACACGCTGAGGACCAGAACATCCCACACGCTGAGGACCAGAACATCCCACACGCTGAGGACCAGAACATCCCACACGCTGAGGACCAGAACATCCCACACGCTGAGGGACCAGAACATCCCACACGCTGAGGACCAGAACATCCCACACGCTGAGGACCAGAACATCCCACACGCTGAGGACCAGAACATCCCACACGCTGAGGACCAGAACATCCCACACGCTGAGGACCAGAACATCCCACACGCTGAGGACTAGAACATCCCACACGCTGAGGACCAGAACATCCCACACGCTGAGGACCAGAACATCCCACACGCTGAGGACTAGAACATCCCACACGCTGAGGACTAGAACATCCCGGTCTGGATCCGGATCGGGGTCCACTCAGGTACCCACACTGAGGACCAGAACATCCCACACGCTGAGGACCAGAACATCCCACACGCTGAGGACTAGAACATCCCACAAACTGAGGACTAGAACATCCCACAAACTGAGGACCAGATCATCCCACAAACTGAGGACCAGAACATCCCACACGCTGAGGACCAGAACATCCCACACGCTGAGGACTAGAACATCCCACACGTTGAGGACTAGAACATCCCACACGCTGAGGACTAGAACATCCCACACGCTGAGGACCAGAACATCCCACACACTGAGGACTAGAACATCCCACACACTGAGGACTAGAACATCCCACACGCTGAGGACTAGAACATCCCACACACTGAGGACCAGAACATCCCACACGCTGAGGACTAGAACATCCCACACGCTGAGGACCAGAACATCCCACACACTGAGGACTAGAACATCCCACACACTGAGGACTAGAACATCCCACACACTGAGGACCAGAACATCCCACACGCTGAGGACTAGAACATCCCACACACTGAGGACCAGAACATCCCACACGCTGAGGACTAGAACATCCCACACACTGAGGATCAGAACATCCCACACGCTGAGGACTAGAACATCCCGGTCTGGATCCGGATCGGGGTCCACTCAGGTACCCACACTGAGGACCAGAACATCCCACACACTGAGGACTAGAACATCCCACAAACTGAGGACTAGAACATCCCACAAACTGAGGACCAGAACATCCCACACGCTGAGGACTAGAACATCCCGGTCTGGATCCGGATCGGGGTCCACTCAGGTACACAATGAGGACTAGAACATCCCACACACTGAGGACTAGAACATCCCACACACTGAGGACAAGAACATCCCAATGAGGTCCACTCAGGTACACACACTGAGGACTAGAACATCCCATAGAGGTCCACTCAGGTACCCACACTGAGGACCAGAACATCCCACATGCTGAGGACCAGAACATCCCACACACTGAGGACCAGAACATCCCACACGCTGAGGACCAGAACATCCCACACGCTGAGGACTAGAACATCCCACACACTGAGGACCAGAACATCCCACACGCTGAGGACCAGAACATCCCACACGCTGAGGACTAGAACATCCCACACACTGAGGACCAGAACATCCCACACGCTGAGGACCAGAACATCCCACACGCTGAGGACCAGAACATCCCACACACTGAGGACCAGAACATCCCACACGCTGAGGACTAGAACATCCCACACGCTGAGGACCAGAACATCCCACACGCTGAGGACCAGAACATCCCACACGCTGAGGACTAGAACATCCCACACGCTGAGGACTAGAACATCCCACACACTGAGGACTAGAACATCCCGGTCTGGATCCGGATCGGGGTCCACTCAGGTCCCACGCTGAGGACCAGAACATCCCACACGCTGAGGACTAGAACATCCCACAAACTGAGGACCAGAACATCCCACAAACTGAGGACCAGAATCCATCCCAGAACATCCCACACGCTGAGGACCAGAACATCCCACACGCTGAGGCGAGAACATCCCACAGTTGAGGACCAGAACATCCCACACGCTGAGGACTAGAACATCCCACACGCTGAGGACCAGAACATCCCACACACTGAGGACTAGAACATCCCACACACTGAGGACTAGAACATCCCACACGCTGAGGACTAGAACATCCCACACGCTGAGGACCAGAACATCCCACACACTGAGGACTAGAACATCCCACACACTGAGGACTAGAACATCTCACACACTGAGGACCAGAACATCCCACACGCTGAGGACTAGAACATCCCACACACTGAGGACCAGAACATCCCACACGCTGAGGACTAGAACATCCCACACACTGAGGATCAGAACATCCCGCACGCTGAGGACTAGAACATCCCGGTCTGGATCCGGATTGGGGTCCACTCAGGTACCCACACTGAGGACCAGAACATCCCACACACTGAGGACCAGAACATCCCACACGCTGAGGACTAGAACATCCCACAAACTGAGGACTAGAACATCCCACAAACTGAGGACCAGAACATCCCACAAACTGAGGACCAGAACATCCCACACGCTGAGGACTAGAACATCCCACACGCTGAGGACTAGAACATCCCACACGCTAAGGACTAGTGGGCGGCACGGTGGCTGAGTGAATAGCACTCTCGCCTCTCAGCAAGAAGGTCCTGGGTTCGAATCCCGGTCAGACCAGGGCCTTTCTGAGTGGAGTTTGCATGTTCTCCCCGTGTCTGCGTAGGTTTCCTCCGGGTCCTCCGGTTTCCCCTACCACTAAAAATATGTCCAATAGTTCTGGCATGCGCCTCCTGTACTGGCCCCGCTCCCATCTCTGTGTGGAGTGAGAGACAAATGCCCAAAAATTAACAATTGTAAACCGCTTTGAGACTCAGATCTGCAGTGAAAAGGCGGTATATAAATAAAGATTACTACTACTACTACTACTACTACTACTAGAACATCCCACACGCTAAGGACCAGAACATCCCACACACTGAGGACTAGAACATCCCGGTCTAGATCCGGATCGGGGTCCACTCAGGTACACACGGAGGACTAGAACATCCCACACACTGAGGACCAGAACATCCCACACGCTGAGGACTAGAACATCCCACACACTGAGGACCAGAACATCCCACACGCTGAGGACAAGAACATCCCACACGCTGAGGACTAGAACATCCCACACGCTGAGGACCAGAACATCCCACACACTGAGGACTAGAACATCCCACACGCTGAGGACTAGAACATCCCGGTCTAGATCCGGATCGGGGTCCACTCAGGTACACACTGAGGACTAGAACATCCCACACACTGAGGACCAGAACATCCCACACGCTGAGGACAAGAACATCCCACACGCTGAGGACTAGAACATCCCACACACTGAGGACTAGAACATCCCGGGCTGGATCCGGAACGGGGTCCACTCAGGTACACACTGAGGACTAGAACACCACACAAACTGAGGACTAGAACATCACACAAACTGAGGACTAGAACATCCCATAGAGGTCCACTCAGGTACACACACTGAGGACTAGAACATCCCATAGAGGTCCACTCAGGTACACATACTGAGGACTAGAACAGCCCACACTGTGTTGTTGTGTATTGTATTGGGTTGTGTTGTCGTGTCGTGTTGTATTGTGTGTTGTGTGTGATCCCAGGTCCGTGTGCGGCCGGAGTGGTCGGGGTGAAAATGCCCAGATACTGTTTGTTTGGGGACACGGTGAACACAGCGTCACGGATGGAGTCGACCGGACACCGTGAGTGAGGAGAGAACAAAACACATCCGTCTTCTCCGTTTCACTTTGTGTAATCTTAAAGAATTAGATTGTGTAAACTCGTTTGTGGTCATCTGTACCACCATCATCATAAGTCCGGGTCCTGACAGTGATGAGTCTAACTGGATCTGGTCTGTCCAGCTCTGAGGATCCACGTCAGTCAGCCCACCATCGACATCCTCCACCGGACCGACACAGAGTTTGAGTTAGAGTGCAGAGGCCAGACTTTTCTGAAGGTAAGTACGTACATGTATATACTGTGTATACAGATGGATGGATGGATATAGGGGTGGGTACCTCACGAAAAATACACTATTTCAAGATCAATGGATAAAGTGTCATGAGTAACATTAAAGTGAAGAGGCTTTTTAACCTGCACAGTTTAGTCAAAATCTCACTGTCTCACAACCACTAAAATCAATATGAACATTCTACAGAAATTGTAGAGTGAAAATGTGTATTGTAGCATATATTAAGTATCAATACTTTTTTTTTTTTCAAGTAAAGCTTTAAATCGATACTCAGCAAAAGCATTGCTAAGTGAGAAAGTATCACGATACATCACCACATCAATATATTGTCACACTCCTAGATACATATATAGATGGATATAGATGGATGGCCCTTTGGGCCTGAAGGTCGTGCGTTCGAGCCCACCATGAGACCTTCTCCATTGACTCCCACTGACGTCTGCTGTCGTTGTGTCTTTGGGCAAGACACTTAACCCCACTTTGCCTGAAGCCCCCACTGAAAGACCAAGGCTGTAACATAGAGCTGCAGGAGGATCAGTGACCCAGAAATGGACAAAGGGGAAGAAAAGAATAGACAGATACTGTACATATAGATAGTATTGCATAATTCAGCTGCTGACTTCTGTAACATTGTGATGTTCTTAAAGGGGAAAGGGACAGAGACCACCTATTGGTTAACAGGAGAAAAGGGGAGGAGCTATGACCTTCCAACTCCGCCCACAGAGTAAGTAACATCTGTTTTATGTTGATGCCATTGTCCTGGTTTGAGACTGGTGCAGCCCTTATGGATTCAAAATCATCCCCGAACCCTGCTTTTGTCTCTGCTCTTTGCCTCCTCCTCTTCCTCCCTCTCATTCTCTTCCTCCTCCTCCTACTCATCCTCCTCCTGCTCCTCCTCTTAATAATCTTCTCCTCCCCCTACTCCTCCTCCTCCTCAGGGAGAGTTTCCAGCGGCAGCAGCAGGACCTGGCCCACATGGTGCTACAGTGCCTGGAGCGCAGCACGAGCAGCAGGAGCATCAGGAGGAGGCCCCTGCTGAGCCAGAGCAGTGCAGGGTCCCGGAACCAGCCTGGAGGGGCCTGTGACGAGGAGCAGCAGGAGTACCTCCACCTGGCCACCGTAGACAACACCCTCAGCACCTTCCTGTAGGGGGCGCTCTCCGGCATCAGCCAATCACAAAGTCTAAGGAATGATGGACTTTAGATCTCTGCACTGTTCACACTGGGACTCACTCCTGCACAGACGTGGTGTATAATTAAAGCTGGGGTACCTAACTTTTCCTCCTTCTTAAATAAAAAATGATAAAATAATGTTTGCCTCACTTTTCTCCCATTGGGTTTTTAGACTTGTTAGAGGTCTTCCCCCTCCTCTTCATCACCCCCTCTTCTTCCTTCTCCTCCTCTCCCTCCTCATCCCCCTCCTCCTCCTCATCCTCATCTCCCTCATCCTCATTCCCCTCTCCCTACTCATCCTCTTCCTCCTCCTTCTCTTCCTCCTCCTCCTCATCCTCTCCCTCCTACTCCTGCCCCTCATCTCCCTCATCCTCATTCCCCTCTCCCTCCTCCTCCTACACATGTTGGACTCTTTGATTTGATTAAAGTTTTCCACCACTTTCCTGTACAGAAGTAAATAATTAAAGCTGGGGTACCTAACTTTTTCCCCCTCAAATTACACACGTTTTCTCACTTTTCTCCTCTTGGGTTTTTGGAATTGTTATAGGGTCTAAGGACAGAGGTGATGATCCAGAACACTCCACATTGGTCTCTGCTCCGTATCGACCGATGACTTTGATTCTCTGATCTGTTTTGGCAAATCGACAGTTTTGTAATGTCCTGACCAGTGGGGGCGGGTCCCAGCTCAAAAATGGCCAAAATGACGTGCGCTGACATGCTGCAATACCACCCCGGGCCAGTGGGGGTGGACCCAGAAGAAGAATTAGCCAATGCTAACATATAGCGTTAGCAGACCTCTCAAAAACGTCTTTACAGGATGGACCAAAAGTTGGCTCTTGGCCCAAAGCTCCGTCCACATGTGTGTCAATGCTGAGGGGGGGGGGGGGAATTTTTCACAATTCTCTTGTGGGCGGGACCACTCGCGGCCATTTTGGACTGCTCCAGTAGAGCACATTTTTTGGCCCATTAGTTAGAACGGCGGAGATAGGCGTGACTCTGTCCATTAATATATACAGTCTATGGTCCAGAATTTTGCGACTGAATATTTTCTGTCTGTAAAAACTTGATCTAAAGAAGTGACTGAGAATGAAAATGCATGGATGAGAAAAATGAGTGATGGAAGCAAACTGTTTTGAGGGAATAGATTTTGTGCCACGGCTCAGTTTAGTTGTGTGAAAGTTAAGTACCCGAGCTTTAAGATCTTTTACTTAACTCCTGTTTGTTCTGGTAACATTTTACTCTAACTTCTGAACCCAAAATCTGCACTTTCTTCTAACTCTTTGAGAGTGATTGATTTCGTTGCAGAAGGAGACATGGCATAAAACAGGGTCGCCGTGCTTCTAAGAGTCAATTAATTGTGGTTAACAGTGCTTCTAAAATCAGACCGTTCGGCTTCAGCTCCACGTTTTCTGTTATATCAGTAACATGTTGTTTTAACACTTAAAATGTATCAAATAAATTTATCATTTGAGTCTCAGGAGGTTGTTCTAATAAAGAAGGTGGTGCTAAAGGGTGTGTTTTTAAATAAGTTTTTATGTTTTTATACAGTACTGACCAAAAGTTTGGACACCCTCTCCTTCACTGAGTTTCTTTTCATGACTATTGTCTGTAGACCCGCACCAGGCTGTGTAAGGGCTGTTTGACCAATAAGGAGAGTGATGGTGCTGGGCCACATGACCTCCACAGTCTGGACCTGAACCCAGTCCAGATGGTTTTGGGGCTGGACCACAGAGTGAAGGGGCCAACAAGTGCTAAGCATCATGGGAACTCAGACCATTTCAGGTCCTGTTGAAGCTCATCCAGCGAATGCCAAGAGTGAAGCAGTATCAGAGCAAAAGGTGCTACTTTGAAGAACCAGAATAAAACTCATATTTTCATTTGGTTCATACTTTTACTTTTAGTACGTACATAATTCCACATTCATAGTTTTGATGCCTTCAGTGTGAATCTACAATTTCCATAATCATGAAAATAAACTCTTTGAGAAGGTGTGTCCAAACTTTTGGTCTGTGGTGTACTGTAAATGTGTGGGACACCCCTACTTGGATCTGGCGTCAATTTTCTGACAAAGATAAATGGGATAATGTCTTTCTTCTGCAGACTGTCGTAATGATCGTTTCAGTTTAACATAATTGCATCAAGGACTCATAAAAAATACATACGCCTTAAACATAAAGAATGCATAATGACCTTTTTACATATATTTATATATTGGATTGTTAATACAGTGTTCTCCATCTCGGATTTTGTTTTTACAGTCTATAGAAATTACTTGAATTGACAATCGCAACCTTCACACAACTGATTTAAAAAAAACTGTCAAAATCTAAAAGCAACCCAAATGAGAGTCATTCTGTTCTGATTGGACAGTCTGCTCATGAACGTAAAATATTATAGACGACTACAGTTTAAAAGGTACAAACTGTGACGTGATAAAACAGATGCATTTGACACGACTACAATAAAACACTGGACTTTGAAACCACTGGACCACGTTTTATTGAGACAATCATCATGTAGAAAATCATCTGTGCTTCAGAAAACACTTGAATAAAAGCAAAAAGTCTGTTTCTGTTGAATGTGAATCGTCTAAAACACAACATGTTTAGTACAAAATCAAACCCATGCAAATCTCCGTGTGCTAACAACCTGTACCTGTGCTACCAACCTGTACCTGTGCTCTATAATCTTAACTTTAGGTAGAAAATGATCGACTACGTTACAACAACACCCCTTTATCAGCAACATAAAAAAAACAATAAATTATAACAAAACATGTAAAAATAGCTTCCAAAAGGACTGATATAAAACAGCTTGATCGATCCTCAGTCTCCCACACGCTGCTGACGTCATGGACATGTGACATCACAAGAGGAACACCGCTATCTATGCTTGTGTTACAGTAAAAACTATGCTAACGCTTTAGCTTAGCCTGCACTGATTAGCAGCTAACCAAGAGCTAATTAGCATAGCATTGCCCTAGCCCACATGGGAAAGCATCAGTTAGTTAGTCCATGTGGAAAAAGGACTAAAAAGTGCTTAATAAATAGTAAATAGGATCTAAATAACCATGAATTATACACTAATTAGCGCTTAATTAGCTAGTTTAGGAAGGTTAATCTCGTTTTCTTAGTAGGCGTAAAGGTATTTGGGTTTTCTACACCAGACAATAGTAAGTTAGCAAAGTTAATATCTTGTGAATTTGGAAGTATAGTTAAAGAAAAGAACCAAATACCTTTACTTTATTAAGCGTTAATTAGTGAGGGCGAAACTAAAGCGTCACTGAAATGATTTATTATTAAACTCAAGGCACCAAAAAATAAAAATATGAACTAGTTTCTCAGTCTTTTGCCTCCGCTTCAGAGTTGTCCGTGGATAAGTTATACATTAAAAACAGCATGGTTGTTTACAGCAGTTTCAAACGAGTCAAACAGAAAGTGTTCTTAAATAAACTCACACGTTTTTAAATAACATGCTTTTTCTGTGGGTTCAGGCTTAAACTATTGAGAGCAGAAAAGGAATGCGAGACGTTTTTAAACAATCGGAACGAAATATATTATAAAAATCTCGTCATTGGTGAAGTTGAATTAATGTTAAATACAAAAACACAAGAACAGTTGCTGCAAAAAGTAACTATAGTTTGTTTTTGACCAAAATGACACATGTACTTTATATATTTGTTCAATGCTTATTTTTCTCCATGTCCTTTTCCCATTGTCTTTGAAAGTGGCATGCCAAAGTACTATTATAACAGATACGCAAACGTTTTTTGTCTACAACTGTTCTTCTCAAAAATCAAAACTAAATCATCTATAATGTTTCTTTCACTTTAGAGTTGTCTGGTCTCAAAAAATAAAAATAAATACACCGTACTTTCTGGACTTTAAGCCGCAGGTTTTCATGTTGCAGTGTAGCAGAACAGGATTAGCTTCCGTTAGCTTCCACAACTCGTTCACCGTTAGCTTCTATGACTCATTTACCGTTAGCTTCCACGACTCGTTCACCGTTAGCTTCCACGACTCGTTCGCCGTTAGCTTCCACGACTCGTTCGCCGCTAGCTTCCACGACTCATTCACCGTTAGCTTCCACGACTCATTCGCTGTTAGCTTCCATGACTCATTCATCGTTAGCTTCCATGACTCATTCACCGTTAGCTTCCATGACTCATTCATCGTTAGCTTCCATGACTCATTCACCGTTAGCTTCCACGACTCATTCACCGTTAGCTTCCATGACTCATTCACCGTTAGCTTCCATGACTCATTCACCGTTAGCTTCCATGACTCATTCACCGTTAGCTTCCACGACTCGTTCACCGTTAGCTTCTATGACTCATTTACCGTTAGCTTCCACGACTCGTTCACCGTTAGCTTCCACGACTCGTTCGCCGCTAGCTTCCACGACTCGTTCGCCGTTAGCTTCCACGACTCGTTCGCCGCTAGCTTCCACGACTCGTTCGCCGCTAGCTTCCACGACTCGTTCGCCGTTAGCTTCCACGACTCGTTCACCGTTAGCTTCCATGAGTCATTCACCGTTAGCTTCTATGACTCATTTACCGTTAGCTTCCACGACTCGTTCGCCGCTAGCTTCCACGACTCGTTCGCCGCTAGCTTCCACGACTCGTTCGCCGCTAGCTTCCACGACTCGTTCGCCGCTAGCTTCCACGACTCGTTCGCCGCTAGCTTCCACGACTCGTTCGCCGCTAGCTTCCACGACTCGTTCGCCGCTAGCTTCCACGACTCGTTCGCCGCTAGCTTCCACGACTCGTTCGCCGTTAGCTTCCACGACTCGTTCACCGCTAGCTTCCATGAGTCATTCGCCGTTAGCTTCCACGACTCATTCGCCGTTAGCTTCCACGACTCATTCGCCGTTAGCTTCCACGACTCATTCGCCGTTAGCTTCCACGACTCGTTCACCGTTAGCTTCCACGGCTCATTCACCGCTAGCTTCCACGACTCGTTCACCGCTAGCTTCCACGACTCGTTCACCATTAGCTTCCACCGCTCGTTAGCTTCCACCGCTTTTCAGCTTCCACCGCTCGTTAGCTTCCACGACTCATTCACCTTAATCTTTTTTAACAATAAACCAGTGTCCTGCAGCTCCTAAAACTTGATGAAGTCAAAATAATAAGTCCCAAAACTCTACCACAATACAAATACACATATTAGCCGCATCGCTATATAAGACTATAAACAAAAAAATAAAACAAAATTGGCTTTTAGTTCAGAAATTACAGTATATATTTTTGTGTTTGTAAAATGTCAAAATGTGCAAAGATACTAGTAGTATCAGTACTTTAGCACGCCTCTTTACTGCCAAATATTTCATGTATTAACTGTGATAAGGACAGTTCCAGGTTCATTTCTATTCTTATTTTTTTTAATTTGTCAATAAACAAAAAAAAAGTTAAAAACAGACATACGAGATGGTAGCGGTGGTTCTGTGTGGACTGAGCCTGTAAATGCATAGACCTTAAAATCTAGCCATAGAATCTGCATTTCTGACCAGTGCAGATGTTTTTGATTGTCCGACACTCCTGGTCTGGGGAGGGTTTTCCCGTTTCCCCGGCGATGCTCTGGTCACACGTGTTATAAATGTGACATCACTCTTTCTACGCCACACGCCATGCCGGTAACACACGACTGTAGTGGAGAGAGTTTTTAGGGAAATGCGTTTTAAAACAGAGGAAATTATCAAGTTTAAACCAAGCAAAGGAACAAGGGCAGAGTTTAGCTTGTTACTGTTCAGAGTCATTCTAAATCATTTATTACAGCTTTTTTTGTGCATTTAAATTAGTTGTGTGTTTATGAATCGCACATTTTGGAACATTTATAGCATATTTTGGTCATTTCTTTGGGTGGCGAGCTATTGGTAAGTAAGTAATATTTATTTATATAGTCCCTTTCACAGAGTCACTGCATACAGAGATGGTCGCCGAACAGGAGGTGCATGCCAGAACTATGTGCATGTTTTTAGTGGTAAGGGGAAACCGGAGCACCTGGAGGAAACCGGGGAGAACATGTAAACTCCACTCAGAAAAGGTCTTGTTCCGACCAAGACGTTCTCGCTGATCCTCTGGTAGCACCTGGGCTATAGGTTTGGAGACCCAGTGCTGGAGACAAGGGACTGGTCCTGGTCTGGCCCTAGTTACCATAGCAACACACCCTCCTGCACTCAATGCAGGAGGGTCTTTTAAGAGTCTTGTGAGGTCTGACTAAAAGTGATGATCCAGGACCTTCAAAATTCAACTACATTTATCAATATTTATGGACATTGGTCATCTTATGCACCAATAACAATGATTTTTTATTTTTTATTTTTTGTGTTCGAACTGTTTGATTCTCTGATCTGTGTTAGCGAATTAAACGGTTTTGTCCTCAAGAGATAACTTCTGTTGTCATTGAGGGCAATACAAGAATAAAATGAATTGAATTGAATGTTACAGCAGTTAGCCATGTAGCCTTTCAACATCCTGCTAGTAGTTTCAGAGTTCTAGTGTTTAGGGAGAGATTAGAGGAAGAAAAAAAATCATTGAAACAGCCGGACTCTCAGGTTCCATCTTGGTTCTATCTGTTCAGAACTTTGCCCTGACAAAACCCGTCGCTCTGACCAGCCCTGGGAGACATCTTTGGTTGCGTTTTACTAAGATTCGTCGCGTGGCCACTTTGTCGCTCGGTTCTGATCGTGAGGTTCAAATGAAGTCCAAACAAAGTCGAAACACTTCTACATCGTGTCCGCTCCTTTTGCAAAACAACGTGAGACTCGGCGCCTACATCCGGGACCCGTGGATCTGGAACAGCTGAAGGAAGCAGAAGCAAGAAATGACAAATAATATTATCATTACAATACTCTGCATACTATACACACACACATGTTTATACTCTACATACTATACACACACACGTTTATACTCTACATACTATACACACACACACACATGTTTATACTCTACATACTATACACACACACACATGTTAATACTCTGCATACTATTCAGACACACACACACACATGTTTATACTCTACATACTATACACACACACACATGTTAATACTCTGCATACTATTCAGACACACACACACACATGTTTATACTCTACATACTATACACACACACACATGTTTATACTCTACATACTATACAGACACACACACACACATGTTTATACTCTACATACTATACACACACACACATGTTTATACTCTACATACTATACAGACACACACATGCTGTTGTGTATCTTGGACTGGCTTTGGTAATGATTATGGAGATGGAGATGGTGACGGGACATGCACAGACATAAGACACCGATGCTAGTGTCCCCTGTGTGTGTGTGTGTGTGTGTGTGTGTGTGCGTGTGTGTAATGTGACCTGCTGTTGTGTAGTTGTGGCTGGACATACAGACCAGAGTGGACAGTTTCTGAAACACTACAGCACGAGGACGGGGCGATGGATGACACTGCATTGGAGCGCCTCGTCTGAAGTTGTTTTAAATTCTGTGTATTTTAACGCCCAATTCGACCTAATCCGACAAATATTTTATACAATGTAAACTTTACTCTACTACTGCATTACTTTGAAGTTACTTTCACCAAATATATAAATACAAACTAAATGTAGCTTATGAGGCTAATGTGTGAGGTTAATACTTATTATTTTGTATTTTATTAGTTATTTTTGACAGAGACCTTATGCAGTAATAAACCATTCTGTAAATGCACCAGAATTAGCTCAAATATTTTGCTATTTTTCCTCTGCAGTCCCTGGACAGGTGTACATAGTCTCCCTAAAGATAATAATATAGAGCTTATATAGTTCTGTTCCACATCTTTGTCAATACATCTGTAAAATGTACTATTGTCTACGTGGTGTTGCTTCTGCTTCAGCCTCAGCATCTTCTACCAGAAAGCAAAACACATTTTGCGGTGGCTACTATTGGAGCCTAGAGCCGCAGATGTTTCTCTCCTCTGCTGATCTTGCAGTGGCATAGCATAGAAAATAAAACACTATTTAATTCCGGGTTAAAATGTAATGAAACGCACATAACAGACCTTTGGACAGAGACAAAAATATTATGCCGGATAAGCCTTATATTATCACAAAGTTTTTCCCTATGGACCAATATCTATGTATATTTTTTTGTGTCTTAAAGGTGCAGTTAGCGATATTGTTAGCTTAGCCGTAGCACCAACTGGAAACCACTCCCCCCTCCCCTCCCTCTCCACTAAACCAAACATCCAGCATTTTCTTTTCTTTGTCACAACAGGGAGAGTGGGCGGCAAACGTGAAATTGGCATTTTCTGTTCAGCCATTTTAGGTTTTCAAAATTCCGATAACTCACTCTTTGTTTTTTTATTATGCTTTCTCTGCTCTTTACTTCTCTGACTGTTGCACTGAGCCAAAACAATTTCCAAGTTTGTGACTTCCTGTTACTTACGTGGCAATAAAAATAATTCTGATTCGTGAGAAACAGGAAGAGGGTGAAGGCGGTAAACGCATCCCATTGGTTTATTTTTATCGGTCCGCTCCAAAATGTATATTTTTATTTTTACTTGAGACTATAGGCATCTGGTTGATTCCATTACTATTTGAAAACACATGATAACTTGACTACTTTTCTCTGATCTGTGTTGGTGATTTCAGTATTTTTGTTAAGTCCTCTGAGATAACTACTGTTGTGACTTAGTGCTATACAAGGATAAATTGTGAATTGTACTTAGGTAATTGTACTTCTGTCTTTCCCGGAGGTTTCCAATGCAGAGCCCCGGGACAGGACTGGCCCCAGACAAAAAAAACACAACAGTGAAAAGTCGGTCCAAAGCGACTCTCCAGATCCTCACCGAGTCCTGCATTCCCGGACCCTCACTCTCTAAGCCACTCATTTGGTGTGGTCTGCCTCCCTCCCTGCTCCTCCTGCTCCTCCTGCTCCTCATGCTCCTCATGCTCCTCCTCCTGTGAAGCCTCCTCCTCCTCCTGCTGCTGCTGCTGCTGCTGCTGCTGCTGCTGCTGCGCAAAGGTAAGCGAGCCAAACGAGACAAAACAGGCAAAGATGAGCATGTAGGGTGAGTGGAGAGGAGAGGACAGAGGTTGTGATTGACAGGTGGGAGGTGTGAGGGGGCGGGACATGTGGAGGGGGCGGCCTGCTGCTCTGGTCAAACATCTGAGGGTTTTACAGTCTGCTTTTTCTGTTTCTCTCTGCACCAGGGGCTTCATACTTTGGCTCAGCAGAGACCAGTAGCTCCCGACAGGATACAAGAATTTCACTTTTTTACGGTTCAGTTTTAACTCGAAATCTTGTCATAACTGGCCATGAGTGTGATCAGGAAGTGTGTCTCTGTGATGGGGAGAAGTGTGGACTCTGTGGGAGGGCATCCTGGGTAACTCCAGACACCCTCTGCATGACGCTATGGTCGCTCAGAGGAGTAACCGTAGCAACAGGCTCCTATCACTACGTTGCAGAAAGGAACGTTTTAAGAGAGCCATTATTTCTTTGGCTGTCAGACTGTACAACAAACCTGGATGAGTTAAAAATATGCTCTATTGTTAAGTGGTTAGTTAGAAATGTTTATAATTGATGTACAAATGTGTTTTTATGGAGGTTTCTGCTGCTGGACACCTGAATTCTTCCTACGAATATCAATAAAGAATCAATATCTATTACTGCAGTGATTCTCTGTGGTGTAGTGGTAGAGTGTGTGTGTTCTCCATGATTCAATATTATTGCAATTATTAAAGTAGCAATATGTAAGATTTTCATGTCCAGTCATTGTTAAAGGGCCCTAATCTGTCAAAAGGCATTAATAAAACATATTATTTTCCAACACTTCTTTAACTGATAACAGTAGTTCAGAGATATTTGGATTTCAAAATTATTTTTATAAAACCAGAATTTCTATCTTTGTGAAAAAGGTGTTGGTTATAGATTTGTTGTTGACAAAGCTCTTGTCTATTCAGCTGTTATGGTCCCAGCTGGATTCGTCTGCATATCTGGCAACCTGAGTCAGGGAGAGTGGGAGAGGCTGCAGTACCACTTTTGGCCACATTTTTACAGACTGCTCCTACGAGCACATATCACCAGAATTATTGACAGTTTGGAGGACCAATAGACAATCCACCCGGAAGTAGAAAATCCTCCTATATACCTTTAAAACACGGGTCTCCAACCTGTGGCTCAGGAGATACCAGTAGCTCGCCAAAGGATTTAGAATTTTATTTGGGACATGAAAAAAGTGTCTTGTTTTTGACATTCCTGAAAAAATGAAAACTGCTTCATTCACGCCCCTGTTGTCTCGTTTAAAGCCTTAATATCCAATACAGTATTCCTTTACCCTTTAGCTGCCAAAGAAGTAGAATTCTTACATGAACTACTGATATATAACCATAATTTTGTTCCATAGAATTGTCGAAATATATTTGTATTTGAAAGACAGTGATTTGCCAAGTACTGATAAAAACAAATAATCTTTAAAAAACTCAATAATAATAATATTGTAATAATTGTCTTTCACTTCACAGTTGTCCATTACTTTATTATGGTATTTCATTAAGAGAAAAATATAATTGTAGTATTTGTGTATATATTTGTGAGGCCGGTTCCTTTACATTCTTATTACGGTATTTTAATTTGTCAACAAAAAAGCCTAAGAGAAAAAATGAACGTAAAACTGACGGTAGTTTAGTGTTGTGTGATTCAGTGAAAGCATAAACCTTAAATCAAGACAAACTATCTGTATCTTTTAAAACATAGACTTACTTTTGCGTAACTAACTTATAGATGTTTTTGATCGTCCAACACTAAACTGTGAGCTCGGGGCCTGGGGAGGTTGGATTTCCCTTTGCTAAAGTCTACAGCAATTACCTTATATTAAAGTTATTTATCAAATCAAATTAAATCTCTCGAGCTTAAAGGGTTAATCGCTCCACCATTTTGGCCCATTCAAAAAATGTACAAGTTGCTTTGAAATCTCTCTTGTGATTTGAATGCCAGGTCTGCAGGCGGCAGTGAAGACACATGCAGTCACAGAAATACCCAAAACACACAAACAAACATACAAACAAACGCAAACAGAAGTGTGTGTGGACTCGCACCTTGGTTTTGTGGCTCTGCTCGGTGCCCAGTCCTGACCCTGGAGTGTGCAGCTCCTTAGAGACCACACACAGAAACTCAGCCTGGTCCTCTGTGCCGTAGCTGTACGACGAGCCGATATTTACCATCTGAGGAGGAGAGGGGAGAGGGATGGGGGGATGGGGGGGGGGGGGATGAGGGGGGAGAAGAGGGGAGAGAGGAGAGAGAGCGGAGAGGAGGGGAGAGAGGAGAGGAGAGAGAAGGGAGAGAAGGGAGAGAGCGGACAGAGGGAAGAGAGGCGAGAGAGTACAGAGGGTGGAGAGGAGAGGAAACAGAAGGGTGAGAGAGGAGAGAAAGGAGAGGGAGTAGAGAGGAGAGGGGAGAGGAAATAGAAGGGAGAGAAGAGAGAGGAGAAGGGAGAGAGGAGAGGGGAGAAATAGAAGGGAGAGAAGAGGAGAGGAGAAGGGAGAGAGGAGAGAGAGGAGCGAGAGGGAGAGGGCAGAGGGGAGAGAGGAGAGGAAACAAAAGGGAGAGAGGAGAGAGAGAGGAGTGAGGGGAGAGGAAATAGAATGGAGAGAAGAGAGAGGTAGAGGGGAAATAGAAGGGAGAGGAAGAGGGGAGAGGAGAGGGGAGAGGGGAGAGGGAGAGAAGGGAGAGAGAGGGAGAGGGGAAGAGGAGAGGGGAAGAGAGGGGGAGGGGAGAGGGGAGAGGGAGAGGGGGAGAGGGGAGAGGGAGGAGAGAGGAGAGGTGGAGTGGAGAGGGAGGGGGAGGAGAGGGGAGAGGGGAGAGAGGAGAGGGAAACAAAAGGGAGAGAGGAGAGAGAGAGGAGTGAGAGGGGAGAGGAAATAGAAGGGAGAGAAGAGAGAGGAGGGGGAGAGAGGAGGAGAGGAGAGAGGAGAGGGAGAGGGGAGAGGGGAGGAGGGGAGAGGGGAGAGAGGAGAGGGAGAGGGAGGGGAGAGGGGAGAGGGAGGGGGAGAGGGGGAGAGGGGAGAGGAGGGGGAGGGGAGGAGGAGAGAGGGAGAGAGGAGAGGGAGAGAAGAGAGGGGAGAGAGGAGAGAGGAGAGGGGAGAGAGGGAGAGAGGTGGAGAGAGGGGAGAGGGGAGGAGAGGGGAGAGGGGAGAGGGGAGAGAGGAGAGGGGAGAGGGAGAGGGAGAGGAGCGGAGCGAGAGGGGAGAGAGAGGAGAGCGGGAGAGGGGAGAGCAGAGAGGGGAAAGGGGAGGAGAGGGGTAGGGGGAGTAAGGAGAGAGAGAAAAGAGAGAAAGAGAGGAGAGGGTAAAAATTACAAGACAACCATAAACATGTAGTAAACTAGGAGTAGAGAAAAGGAGCCCAGAGCATGCAGACTGACCACAAGAGGGCGCCCTGCTCTCAAACACAGACACAGGGCAGAGAGAACCACAGCCTTTTACTTCTATTCTTATTTTTGAGGGGTTCCTGTGCAAAGCGAACAGTGGCGTGCATGCGCTGGAGTTTGGGGGGAGGGGGGAGTAGAGGGTTTTTTGGGGGTCTACATGTGAACACAGACTAGGTTTTAGATCTGACCTTCTGAGACCGGGAGAAACTGAGCTGGAGGCAAAATCATGAGAAAGTAACATTTACATTTCATTAATCCATGGGTTATTAATATCTCCTGTTGACCTTGGTGTGTAGGGAACATTACAAACACAAACAACGCGATTCTTTGGTTTTATATTTCTTCCTTTAAAAATCCAATTCTGACCAATCGCTATCTTGTTGGTTGCTATGAGGTTGCTATGGGCGGGTTTGACTTTTCTGCCTCTGCTACTTCCTTCTTCTGCTAACAATAATATAAATATAGGGTGACGTGAGCCCTCACTCTGACCACTTTCTACACTTTTTACCTCAACTTCTCCAACGTAACTACAATTTTGTAGATACAGTAGTTGATAATGTTGTGTAAAGATATTGTGTCAAAAGACGCGTTGTGTGTAACATTTGCACTAGTCCCTTTACCTGCAATCATTACAACATTATGACATTAATCCATTCGTCTGATAACTCACCTTCACCTGCTGCTATCATTACTGTTGTTTACTCTTTTCTCTGCTGCTAAAGTACAACAGAAACATCTGTGATTAGCTACTGCACTGTAAAAATATGTCATCTGTGTATTCTTATATATTGTTTATTATAATGTTTAGGATGCTGCAATGTAATGAATGTATTTTTTGTTATCGTTTTATGCTTGAAATACACATTATTCATTCTTTATTTCCTGATTCTGCTCAATACAAAGTGATTGATCCTTGAACCAAGTGACATTACAGCTCCAGATGTTTCTATTTAATCATGTTATTATGTATGATCTTAAATATTAGATCTTGTTGGATGTGTGTAAAACCTCAGTCTCTCATTACTCATTTATTCTGCTGCAATGTGCAACTACGGCATTGAAATTTCCACTGAGGGATTAATAAAGGTTAATCTTTTCTTATTTGTAAGTTCTCTTCTTCGAGCAAAGCGGATGTTTTCTACCCCCCTGGTCTGGTATTATTTAGTTTTAACAATGACGGCATCTTTGTTATAATAAATCGTATGTTTTCTTTCCCTTTTGCAAATATAGCTGGAACTAGAATGACAAATTAATAACCACTAAATGTCTTGTCCCTGAGCTTCTGACACTGCCCTGCTCTGTCTGCTCTGGTCCGAGGTGTGGAAACCATATGGGGGGGAGGGGGCCGAGGGATCAGGCCACACAGGGGGTCACTATCGAAGGGTCAGCAGCAGCGTGAGTCCAACCCACAGTCCAGAGCAGTCCGGTGCGGGGCTTTCTGCAGGCGCGCACGCTGACCTGCTCAAACTTCCAGCCGTCCGACATGGTGGACACCATCTGGGTCAGCTCCTCCTCCTGGCACTGCAGCACCCGGTACACATGCTTCGGAGGGACCTGCTGGGGGGGTGGGGGGGGGGACAGAGAGCAGAGAGAGAGACAGGGGGGAGTGAGGGTGAGTCTGTGCACGTGTGTGGGTGAGCTATAGACTGTACATGTTAACGGTAGTGACGGCTTTTTCCTACGTTGAAACTTATGTGTGATCACTTTTCATTCCTGCCAACCTTTTCAAAATGGCCGCGATCAGCCCCTCCCAGAGGAAAATGGTGAAAAAAACATGTTTGGAGCGGAGGCTGTTTCATGTGCACATGCGTTCGCTGGCACGAGCCTGACACATTGCTGAGAAAACACGTTCATTCAAAAGTCCATAGCGTATAGACTAGACTGGTCCAAACAATACTACCCTCAGCATTGACAGCATCTGGAACCAAGAGCCAACTTTTCATTAGATAATTCTGTTTCCGGGTAAGACACCGCAAGCAAGGAGTAAGATTCCAAGCATGTCAACTACATTTTGAGACAAGACCCGGCTTAAAATTAACGCTCCATCAGAATTGCCTTCTATGGGGCTTTTTCAAAATGGCGGCAGGGCAGGAAAACGTGGAAAAACGCATTTGCGCATGCGTTAGCCGACACTAGCCACATGCATTTAACGGGAGCCTTCTGAAGTCCACAGCGGCTAAACTTGATCCAAACTTGCCATTTTCTAATAACAGGTCCATTAAGGGTAGATTTGATTAGATATTGAAAGCCACAGATCTGCCATTTTAGATTAAGCGCCTCGCCAAAAGGACACAACGACCGCTGACATCCGTGGGAGTTGAAGAAGGTCCAATGGGGGATCGAACCCATGGAAATTGGCTCCTCTTTTTAATGCAGTGATTATCTAAGATTTTAGAGCCTTGTGTGTTTGTGTCCATCTTGTTTTGTTCAGCACGTTGAGTTGCCTTGTGCTATACAACCAAACTCACATCCGCACGCACAACCATCCGCAGTCTTCGGGTAACACACTCACTGCATAAAACTAAACATACTAATAAATTAAATATAAATACTGTATGCCTACATAGCAGCCTCCTCTGTGTGCCAAAGCCAGAGAGCTCCAAACCAGCTTCACCTCAAGGCAAATGACACCAGTGTGTGCAGCGACGTACAGCAGGAGCCAGAGAGAGGCTTGGTCGACCCACACAATCAGGATTATATAAGCGCGCACATAATAGTCTCTCTGAGAAGGAGCAGAGAAGTGTGAAATCAAAGGTCCAAAGGCATTGCACTTAAAGGAGGCTTTTGAAAGAGGGCACCAGGCTGAGCGCCCTGTGCTCTCACACTGCGGCCCTGTGCTATAAGTTCATAATAAATGTACTCTTTATGCATCGCCAGTGTCTGTACAAGTCTTACATAAAGTCCAACAATCATGTTTTATCACAGATTCACCGATATGGGTTTTCTGAGCCTGATGTAGTGAAACAATAAAGGTTTGACTGTGGTCAGTGGTCAAATCTTTGTTTATTTGTTGCTGCAGATATACCACAGACTGTAAATATTAACGGACGTAGTCACGCCCATCTCTGTCGTTCTAACTAATGTGCCGCGGTCTATGGGCAGTTTCAAAATACCGAGGGGGCTGGAAAATATATATATATATATATATATATATATATATATATATATATATATATATATATATATATATATATATATATATATATATATAAAAAACATATCGTATTAAAACATTTAAAAATTACCAATAGACCAAAAGTTTGGACATAATTCAACATGAGATAATTCATAGTTTTGATGCCTTCAGTTTGAATCTACAATTTTCATAATCAGGAAAATAAAAAAACTCTTTGAATAAGAAGGTGTTCCCAAACTTCTGGTCTTTACTGTATATATATGTAAACAAACAAATAAATACAAACGTAAATGTTTCAGTTTTACTTGGATTGAAACAGAAGTGGACGAAAGATCGGGTTGAGTAATGTCGACTGGTTTACAAATGTTTTTTTAAATGATTACTAATAATGACGTTTTGGCTTCGTTGTCCATCCATCCATACTTTTTCTTCTGCTTTATCTGTTGCCTCCTGTGGGACTGAGCTCCTGTATCTCTGAGGGAGCAGCCACTCTGCAGCGGAAATTCATTGGACTTCTTGTATTCGCAATCTCGTTCTTTCGGTCGTTTCCCAAAGCTCGTGTCCAGAGATGAGGGAGAGAACGAAGATTGATCGGTGAATGGAGAGCTTTGCCTTCCGCCGCAGCTCCCTCTTCATCACAACGGCCTGATACTGATCTGCCTGTCAATCTCTCGCTCTGAACAAGACCCAGTGATGGACAGTGTTGTGTGTTTCTGGTCACGCTTCAGGTAAAACCTCGAAGACTGAAATAAATAAACTTGTAGCAGCGTATGTTGAAGAAGAGATTCTGACTGTCTACTGTCGCCGTCTTTCAGAAACATTTCACACCAAATGCAAACTGCAGGTGGAAAAAATCTGGTGCTACAGACAGAAAAACATGAGTAAATTCTCTGGAGAAGTGCCAAAGACGGAAGATTCCTGCTTCTAGAGTACGCATCCATCCATTTACTCCCGCTTCATCCGTTGCCGAGTCGCGGGGAGTAATGTACTTTCATTTTAGGTATTTACTTGTTCATGTTCTACCATTTTTTAACAGCTTGTTATTAAGCAAACATACAAACTTGATACTGTTCTCTTGTTATGTGACAAAGTAAGCCAAAAATAATGTAATGTTACTTGCATTCTTGCGGCAGTACTTAGGTAAATAATTTAAATTTAAATGTATGTTATTTGTAACTCATTACATGGTATACAATTTTAATTCTGACATTAAATCTGAAATGTTTCTTTTCTTCATTATTGTTTTACCTTATGTTTGTAAATGTGTATGATTTTATGTCTGTGTAAAGCACTTTAGGTTGCACTGCATCGATTGCGCTTTATAAATAAACTTGATTGAGTGCTACATTTTCAAAGTAACATACCCAACACTAGCCTGGCCTTATCCATCCGTACACTCTGGTCAATCATCATTTCACTGCATGTAACGTCTGGGTCTGTTCCCTGTGTTAACGATTACAATTGGTTGAATTCCATCCGACCAATCAGAGAGCGCGGGAGGCGGGTGTTGTAGTTAGATGTGGGTGACGTCAAGAGTTTGCGTCGAACGAGCAGGTTGTAGTTTGGCAAAGAATGCGATAGTAAAGTAATCCAGTCTGGTTCTATCAAGAAATTGAAATCGGAGCAAGAGGAATGTTTAGCAAATGTAATCGCTGCAAAGATTGTGGCGCTACTCCCCACGGGCTCCGTTAGCGACAAAGGAGATGGCTAAAGCTAGGCTAAATGCTAACAACTCACCCGGGCACATTACATACATCACAGTAAACTCAGATCCAATCGTTTCAATCTGCAAAAGAAGTTAACCCCTCCCACCTGTTCACAGAGTCAATGGAGCAGATCCAGACCTAAATGTAATTTGTACTATGGTGTGGTACGACCAGGCTAACCCAACACTGTTTATAGTAAAATAAATGATGATGTTGTGCGCTGAGAAAAACACATGTACAACACGCTATTGAAGCATTTTGACCAGAAGGGAAGAATATCAGTAGTATTTCAAAAACTCTAAGAAACAGCCCGATATCTCTGTTAATGTCTGATTGTTCTTGTACCTGTGTGGATTTGGAGTCTCTCTCGACGATCCGCTCTTTGATCAGTTTGATGAGCGGCGTGATGTTGTAAAACTCTGCTTCTTCCAGGACCCCTAGACACAGACACGTTAGCGCAAAAAGACGTCTCATTGTTGTTGCGGACCTGACAGAAAACGTGAGCCGCACCTTCCTCTGCCAGCTCCTTGTTGTAAACCAGCTTTCCGTGTCGCAGGTAGTTTAAGATCGGGCCGAAGTAAGTGGGGTCTCGGTCGATGACGTAGGCTCCGGTGTCGTCCTGTAAAAGAGAAAAAGAAAAAAGATTGAGCTACTATTTCACATTTTTGAAACCTAAATCGCAAAGAGCAGCAATATCAAGATTAAACTCAGATGTATTTTAGTTTGATTATTAACTATGAACCCCAAGTACAGACCGAGAAGAATGAATTCAGAACTACTTTAAAATCTATTCAAATGTAAAAAACAGTTTGAAAAATTACTATTGTAGAAGTACAGAGAGGAAGAGTGATTGAGAGGTGTAGGGTCGGAGAGGGTTTGGGCCTGTGTGTGTGTGTGCGTGTGTGTGTGTGTGTCTGGTGTGCGTGTGTGTTGTCATATACCATCATATGATACTGTGTTGTCTTACTGTTGTACAATTGTGAGATTTCATAACACTTTTAAGCAACTATTGTTAAAGTTAAACTCATCATTCTACCAATGTGCAGAAGCCAGTACTTTTCCCTTGTTTTGACTTCTGAAGGCCAAGCTACATGGCACCGTGGCAGCTGCTGATTAGAGGACTGCATTCCTCCATGCTGTATAATACACTTGCTGTCGGAACATTCCTTGTTCGTGCTGTCTCTACCATCGACAATAAAACATGTCTTCTGTCAGAATGAAAGACGCGATCTCAGACTTTGTCATCTTCTTCACAATATTAGTGATTCTTTTTGCTATTTTTCATCCAAATTGTCTTGTTTCCGGGTTTTTAACAGCAGTTTGAAAGCATGGTTTTATTCCGTAAAATTTTACTGACTGATCGAAATTCAACTCCAACTTCACCCGAAGGCTCTATGAGTATTTTTGCTTTTATCGTGGCCTTTCCTGTGTGATTCTCTGTTCTGTGTTGGCAAATCGACAGCTTTGTGAAGTCCTTCGAGAGAACTACTGTCGTGATTTATAGCGATTGATTGTGAATTTCTCTTTGCCCCATTTGTTTGCCTCGCCCACTCGCCGCTGCTACCTCCAGATGAAAGAAGCAGCATGCACCAGTGAGGTTGTTCTCTGGTATACAAAGTGCGGATGTCTGCACACAGAGTCACCGCTGCAGAGACGAGCCGGGCCCGACAAGTTGGAGCAGAATGTGTAATGGAAAACGCTCCCTGTTGAATACTTAACAGCTCTCGGCTTCGTTCCATGAAACAGCATTTTCTCCATTTCTTGTGGATGACTAGATAAATGGGCTGAATGCACCGAGTGAGGTTTGTTCCAGAGAATGAAAAAAAAATGCTCGATTGAATATTGCTTCAAGGACAAATACTTTTCTTAATCTCATGTTTTTCTCCATTTATCTCAAAAACAAGAAAACACAACTTTTTTTAGATGTTGGAGGGTTGTTTCTTTGTGACGCAGCACATGATCCAGGACACTCCACATTCAACCACATTTATGGACATCTACGACATTTATGTTTTAATCATTGTATTTCCTGTGTTTCAACCGTTTGATTCTCTGATCTGTGTTGGCAAAACGACAACTACTGTTGTGACAGGGACCAGGTCTGCAAACGCTGTAAGCTTCACCGCCTATGAACATAGCATCGGTTCCTGTAACAATGTTTTTGTTCTGTCCTTATCAAATAAACACAAGATAATATAGGGCTGAACAAAAATACATTCAATTCAATGAAACCTTTTCCTCTTAAAACATGTTAAGTAAATCCCTAACTTGTGACTGCCTGTTATTTAAAAATAACTCTGATTTTGTTAAAGGTCAACGTTTCATCTTTCAATGGTCTAACAACATGGCGCTACAAACATGTGAAGACCAGATCCTGGCAAATCTCAAAAGCTAAGCAGGGCAGAGCCTGTGTAGTGCTGTAATGGGAGACCCGGCTCAAGGTACCACAGGGGAGCAGCTGTAAAGTACCAAACTCATTGTGTCCTTACGAAAGACTCTTCACCCTTATGGCCAGTATGTGTCTTGTTGCCTCACTTCTGTCAGTGTCCCAGGGCAGCTGTGGCTACGGTAGTGAAATACAAATTCCATGTGAAGGATCTTTGCGTGTCATGAAATGCATTTTGCAAAACCAACATAACAATGCATTAAATCCAAAGCCAAAGACACAGAAAACCTCCAATGAAGAAGCTACTCTGATCACTGTTCACTATTTCACAGATTGAGAGAAGCAGGAAAGGCTCAGAGAGGGACCAGAGAGAGACCAGAGACTAGAGAGACCAGAGAGAGACTAGAGACCAGACAGACCAGAGAGAGAGACCAGAGAGAGACACTAGAGAGAGACCAGAGAGAAACCAGAGAGACCAGAGAGAGACCAGAGACTAGAGAGACCAGAGAGAGACTAGAGACCAGAGAGACCAGAGAGACCAGAGAGAGACCAGAGACTAGAGAGACCAGAGAGAGACTAGAGACCAGAGAGACCAGAGAGAGACACTAGAGAGAGACCAGAGAGAGAGAGAGACCAGAGAGAGAGACTAGAGAGACCAGAGAGAGACCAGAGAGACGAGAGAGAGACCAGAGAGAGAGAGAGCCTAGAGAGGGACCGGAGAGGGAAACCAGAGATAGACCAGAGAGAGACAAGAGAGAGAGCCCAGAGAGAGACCAGAGCGAGACCACCATACAGAGATAACAGCTTTAGTCTGATAAACAGGGGCTACATTTCCCACTCTGCTTGGTGCTGGTTTCGTAGATGGCCTCTTGCCTTCAGCTCCTGCAGCCTCACAATGTGCACACTCATCTTCATCCTCGTGACGAAGACTTCAAAAGGAGACGCCACTTACTTTCACACCGCACAGAGCTCAAAGGGCCTGCTGGGGCCTTATTCAAGCTGGATGCATTTGTAGACTTTTGTAAACACGACGCCGACGGTGACATAATCGACCACCATCTTTATCAGCAGCTACTGAGGCGGCAGTGGACATGGATCCCCTCCAGGTTCTGATGGTCCTGAAGTAGGTACTGCTGCTTTAATGAATGCATAGTTACGTTTTGGTTTGATATCTTATAGTGACCGACATGACTTTACAGTAGTATGTTCTTCACTCTTTTTAATGTACTGTTCTTATTTATTATCTTATCGCCTTGTGTGATTGTTTCTATCTTATTCTGTCATTATGAGATGTGCTATACCTAGAATTGTGCCTTGCCTTGCTTGAGTGACAGGTCTGTAGGTAGTTTTCTGAGGGTTAAGGAACTGAAACGTACATAACCGAAGCCAATACTATTGTTGGGCTGTTCTAAAAGTTGTGCGTTTTTGTTTCATAAATCTAACCAGACTAGGACAAAACATGTTATCTTTTTCATCCCAGAGTGGACTGAGACGGTTCTCACTTTTACAACCTCTCTGTCCAAAAGAGCTGATCTAAAGATATGACAGAGACCACAGACGCATGAATGTGAAAACTATAAAGAGTTGAGGTCAATTATCATTTCCTACATGTACCGTCTGCGTCTGATCCTAGTGTTGAATCCCCTCGGCTAAATGCTAAAGACTCACTCGGGCGCATTACATACAGCACGGCAAACTTGGATCAATCTTCAAAAGGAGTTTACCCTTTAACCCACCTGTTAACCGAGCTCAATGGAGCAAATCCAGACCTTAGTATGACATGAAATTTGTACAATAGTGTGGTAAGACCAGGCTAAAACTAAGCTAACCTGAATCCTTCACTGCACCTTTAAATGACCCAGTTTCTGTGATTTCTGCTTTTCTCATTAGCAGCAAGAAACAGAAAGAAACTCATGACCATAATGACATACATGAACCTGCAGTGCCGATAAATGCTAAATCAGAGTGGATTCATTTATTTTTCTGCAGAAACATTGATCTGTAATTAACGGTGTTTTCCCTCCTGGAGTGAGTAAGTGGTTAAGGGCTGCAGATCAATACAACCTCTCCGTGTAGTAGTTTAAATGGGTTGAGTCAGTCAATAATCAAGCTTACAACCCAAAAGGGCAAGCAGCCAGACGCAGGGCAACGTCATGGAAGGAGCTATCTTTACCGCTGCCGTCGATAAAACACATGTGTCGGTATGTAACGTTCGGACGCCGGATATGTGCAGATCAAAATCCATTCAAATCTATTCAAAAGCCATGAGTGAATCTAAAGGAGTGCAGTAGACACAGATGCAGAACCACCATCTTCTTCCGTGGTTGTCAGATGGAAGACGACAGGAGGCAGCTTGTGCGTGATTGCAGCACTGAGCCTGGAGGATACACACACACACTCACACAAACATAGACACAGACACACACAACCGGAGCAGACAACGCCTAATCAACGTGACGCGACTTGACAGTGCTAGCATGGCAACAGTTTCACCACAGCTGGAGCGAGCGCATCTCTGGGTCCAAAGTTTGTTCTAACGTCTGTCACGATGTAAAGACTTTGTGAGAATAAAGTTATCAGAGGCACTCGTTCAGACCAGGGCTAAGTGCGGCCCAGGAGCCACATGCGGTCCGGTTCACATTTCTATGCGGCCATCGGACCCTCGGGCTCTCATGGCCTGTTATTAATTCTGTCATTAATGAACGAAATGTTATTGGTAATAATTTTCTCGAAACAAAATTCCCAAGAAAACACTGGATCTCTTTATGTGCTTCTAATTTAAACTAAACATATGACATACCACTATAGCTATACATATATATGTCAACATTTTCTTTACATACTGAAGTAGGTTTTTTTTTGGAATAAATTAAATAAAAAATTAACCACATGAAATTGGGTCCGGACCTCCAGTCCACAGTAAGGAAATATCTCATTGGCCACCTCTGCAATGGTTACTAAGACACTAAGACATATTGACACCATAACTATTGAGCCAAAGTATTGCCATAGACATCCTTTATTTAAAGCTGGGGTACCCAATGTTTTTTTCTCATAAATGATCCATATAGTTATAATCAACTGAAAGAGTCTTGGAGAAGTGAACAAATCAGACCACAGTTTTCTAATAATAATGAACGCTGACAGATACTACATGGTATTATTCTTTAACTCCATACAAGGTGGTAATAAACTGCTACTATAGCCACAGCTGCCCTGGGGCACACTGACAGAAGCAAAGCAACCAGTCTGTGCCATCAGCCCCTCTGGCACTTTACACCCACAGCCGCTCCACTGTGGCACCTGCTGTTCCCAGAGGTCTCCCATCTTTTAACTAACCAGGCCCTGCCCTGCTTAGCCTCAGAGGTCTGACAGGATCTGGCTTTCACCTGCAGGTACGTCCACAATTCTGTTTTCCTCTTATCATGATATTGTTTGCATACTCGTAAGAAAAAACCCTGGGGAGAAAGCTGATTGGCCAAGAGAGGGTGGTCCTCTCTTTTTCACTTTTCGGTCTGAAAAAGCTGATCTAATGATGTGAAAAAATGCTTTTAAAACAACTAGTGACGGAAACCAACTGTTAAGGAACTACATGTATTTGTGGGTTTGAAACGTTGAAATAAAGTTATCTTTCTAAACTAAACAAAGACATTTTTACTCCATGAATAGGACCCTGGCTTTATTGAGTAATGTATGTTCACAGAATGGTTTC